GAGAACTTAATCTATTTTCAGCTTAGAATAAGTAGAAGCATTTAGCTTGGGATAGCACCTCTAAGAAGTGTAATGTCACAGCTGTTAAATTCTCAAGAGTAATCTGTCGGAAAGGAGTTTGAGGAGACATGAGGTCCCTGACAGGCCGTTACAAATCAAATGATGATGCATTATTAGGCAGGTTCATTTGAAAAAAAAAAAACCCCAAAAAACTCTTATCACTAAGTGGACCAAGAGAAACCAATCAAGATATGTTTTAGTTAAAATGTAAAACATAAGCCTGATACGTGTGAAGGTGTGAGGTGGCGTAATGGCTATAAACATTGAAAAAGGGATGCGGTAAATAAAGTTCAAATTTTGGTTGAATCTACCTTCATTATGCTACCAACTTTTTCTAGTATGTATGATTGATTATAATCTTCTGATTTAATTTGGCTAAAAATCACAAATAGGTAAAGTCACTTTATTTAAATTGAACCGTCCTATTTTCCGGACGGAGTGTATTAAGTTTGTAAGTAGATTTTTTTTTTTTTTTTTTTTTTGGGGGTCGCAGGTTCGAATCCTGCCGGAGAGCGTATATTTTCTTTAACCAGATTTCTCGAATGTTAAAAATAATAAAATATGTCGGATTAAATAATAAAAATCCACCACTTCATAAATTGCTTTGTTTACGTTAGGATAGAAAACTGGGTAGATGTGTATATTTTGTGAGTCTGGGAAAGATTTGCATTTATAAGACACTATTCAACTTTGCTTGATCATCGACGAACTTCGTGGGCGAGCGATCTAAAGCATGTCGAATCTAACGACGGTTTCCATGATTTGAATCCTGCTAGAGAGCGCATATTTTTCTTTAGTACAATTTCTCGAATATTCAGACTGGTAGACGAAAATATATAAGCGGAGCGTCTACTCAAATATGGGTATCCACTAAAAATATTTAAGTAATCTGTCGGATCAATAGATAAAAAAATTCATCATTTCTTTAGAAAGTACAAACTTGTAGTTAATTCTTAAACGACGGACATCATCGATTGATGTTTCACTGGAAATCAGAGGATATCATCGATTGATGATTTAAACTTTTTTCCAGCAGCACGGACATATTCATGATTTAGAAAACAGATTCACGGTGTCTTGAATTCAAAGTATCAGTGCTGGGCATCTTTAACACTGAAATGACGGCCATCATCATCTGATGTTTCATTGGAAATCAGAGGATATCGTCAACTGATGATTTGAACTTTTTCCAACAGCAGGGACAACATTCATTCATGATTTTGAGCCTAAATGACTGATTGGCGATTCTAGGATTCATGAGGTTACGTTCTTTCTTGGAGTATTTTCCTGCAAATAAAGCTGGAACAACAAGCCAAAAAAAACAGTGATATGTCTGTATGCATGCTTTTTGAAGAGAAACGAAAATAATGATAAACTGAAGAATTGGAATGCTTTAAAGAGTATTGCGCTCTTAAAAAAAAAATTAAATTTAGGAAGATAACATTTGTTTAATTTCTATGTTTATTTTTTATAATCTTTTATTGACTCCATATTTAAGGGTAAGCTGTCTCAGATTCAAATCTAGAGCCTTCATGCACCTTTTGGAGAAACCTTTCTCTGATTGACACATGAATGTAGATGTACTCTCCATGATTGGCCAGATGCAGGTTGGTGAGGCTGTTTAACCCACAGTTGGAGGTTTTGAATTCAGAGTTGTCTTACTCCTAGACCAGTGTTTCACAACCTTTTTTTACCCTTGCTTAACCTTTAAAATAAATTACATGTCTCAAGGAACCCTTACGCAAAAACAAAATTATATACTATATCTTTCTTATTTTATTTTCATCGTAGTTCACGTGGTAAATATCATAGTATATATTTTTAAATAACTGGTTTAATGCAAAATTAATACTTTGTCAAATTTTTCGTTAATGCTAAATAGAATTCATACTGTTCGTTTATAATACTTCATCTCGCAGAATCTTAGGGTTCCAGGGCACCCGGTTGAGAAACGCTGTCTTAGACCAATATCGTTTTTATAATTTTTGAATGTAATTATAGCGAAAATAAAGTGAAAACTATCCTTTAACACATTGGTGGCCACACGACACTCCGGTGGGTCGATTTCCAGTTTCTTTTCTATGAGAATTGTTGGGAGGAGGATCTTATGATTGATTGCTTATGAGATCATGGTACACCAGAACCACATTTTTCATCCCAAAATTTAAATATTATTTTTTTGGCTTTTATTTCGTTTTTTTTTTTTTTTTGAATTTCTACTGTTGTTTTTAGGGGTCATTTTTTTAAAAAAATTACATACGTATAGCTGTGCCATGCATTCGTGTGGGATTATGGGTTCTAGAATGGACTCGGGTACTGAACGACACACCGGTGGGTGATGGGTAATAAATACTACTTATGATATCTTTGCCTCATATATGAAACAATGTTAAAGTCGCATGTACCAAAATTAAGATATAATGTTTGGAATTTTGTGGCAACAAGAGAAATGAAGCTTGGGAGCCAATGTGTTAAAAATAAATGAATTTTCTCTTTGTTTACCTGTTTGATATGCACGTTCGTTCTATGATTTGATTGGTTTATTTAACGGCATATCAACTCCTTTTGGGTCATTTAATGACGAAATTTACTTTTCTTGAGAACATAGAAGTAATTTGATAATTTTACTATAAATATGTATTGTTGATAATTATTTTATATAAAAATGCATTGCTGGTAATTTTTCTAAAAAGATGTATTTTTATATTTTCATATTGTTTTGTTTTTGTTGGGAGGTTCACTATTTGCCTATAGCTAGGACCCTAAAAGATACTACCACCCCGGGTCGTGGTGGACAGGGGAACAATAGAAAGTAAGAGGTGGTTCCATGCACCCCCAACCTCCTGATCAAAAGCCTTGCCGCTGGATGTAGTTTATCGTCATACCCAGGAGTAATGCTCGTGCAATCTTTTCTTGTCGTTTAAGAGTTAATGAAACGTAAAATTAAGTTTTTTTTTTTTTTACGTTTGTTTTTTTTTACGTTTGTTTTTTGTTTACGTTTGTTTTTTGTTTACGTTTGTTTTTTGTTTACGTTTGTTTGTTTTTTTACGTTTTTTTTTTTTTTTTTTTACGTTGTGTTTTTTTTACGTTGTGTTTTTTTTACGTTGTGTTTTTTTTACGTTGTGTTTTTTTTACGTTGTGTTTTTTTTACGTTGTGTTTTTTTTACGTTGTGTTTTTTTTACGTTGTGTTTTTTTTACGTTGTGTTTTTTTTACGTTGTGTTTTTTTTACGTTGTGTTTTTTTACGTTGTTTTAGAAAACTACCGAATATAAAACTATAATTAATATTGGGTTTTTATTTTAATTTTTATAATTAATACCAGATTTTGGCTGGGGATTGTTTAATTTAATTTTCCTTTTATTACAACTCTTAGATTGTCATTCTACAGTCGTTAGTAAGTAGTGTGGATTGGTAATGGCAGTGCTTCATTTTAGAAATTCAAATAATATTGCAGGTAATATTTTAATTTGCCTTTCGAGTGGGGGTGCCAGCGCAGTAAATATCTGAAAAGGGGTGCTGGGGAGGAAAAGATTAAGAAACGTTGCCTTATATTAACAAATAGGCGTAAATTAGATGATATATATAAAGAATGTTATCTTGTCTCAAATTGGAGAGCTGTTAAATTGTCTGCTTTATTCTTAATTAAGAATCAAGTGTTGTGGTGGTGAGCATCCGCTTGTTTAACGTTTTAAGGGTTATCTCGTAGGTGTTGAACGTGTCAAATGATACTGACATATTTGGTGATAATGTTTAAAATATTTCCTTGAGTAATAATGGCTCGTCATTTCATGTTAAACTGGGACAACTCGTTACTCCCTCCTCCACCGCTGGCAGTTTAAAAATTGTTGCTTGACAAGTATTATTACTTATCCTTTTCCCTATTATTATCTATTCATAGAATGAAACTTACTTTCTATTTAAATATCATTTTAATGCTGAAGACAATTTAGGTAACTGCATGTGTTTATATACGAAAGATAGTAAAGGTTTACTTGAGACTGACCAAAAACGTAAATGAATATTTTCTTTTCTTTCTCTTTCTTCCATCTTTCTCTTTACTTTTTTTTTTTCGCTTTTTCTTTTTTCTCTATTTCTTTTCCCTTTTTAGTTTTTTCTTTTTTTCTATTTTTTCCCTTTTGCTTTTCCTTTTCTAATTTTGTTCGTTTTCTTTTTCCTTTCTTCTTTTTCCTTTCTTCTTTTTCCTTTCTTCTTTTTCCTTTCTTCTTTTTCCTTTCTTCTTTTTCCGTCTTTCTTTTCCTTTCTTCTTTTTCCGTCTTTCTTTTTTTCCTTTCTTCTTTTTCCGTCTTTCTTTTTTCCTTTCTTCTTTTTCCGTCTTTCTTTTTTCCTTTCTTCTTTTTCCGTCTTTCTTTTTTCCTTTCTTCTTTTTCCGTCTTTCTTTTTTCCTTTCTTCTTTTTCCGTCTTTCTTTTTTCCCGTCTTTCTTTTTTTCGTCTTTCCTTTCTTTTTTCCCCCGTCTTTTAATAGAACATTGAGATACTTCTGCTTCATTGATTTTACAAGTACAAAGTATTTTTCCTCATGTCAAATCACACTTCCATGCCTTGTTCATAGATAAGCTTATCATTGTATTCATTTTTCCCACTAATATTCAAAGAAATACAAATATGTTAGTTTCCTCACTATTTTTAAAAAAAATCATTTTCCTCAACCAATACGATAAAAGCCACTAAGACGCCTGGCGTTACTGAGACTGAAAGAAACCCAAGAAATGTTATTGAGGAGAGAGGACAATAAAAAACCACAATTCAAGGATTCAGATAATAATTTACATTGCTTCTAAATTCTTTAAGTTTGTAGTTGTCAGGAAAGCAAGCAGTCAGAAGATAGTTCCACAAACGACATTGTGTTTTTTTTTTTTTATGGTTTAATCATTTGTCGGTTATTTAAAGCCGAAATATATTTCGGATTGTATGTGGTTGCTTACAGCACCCAGTGTTCCCATCGGTTCCCCATCTAAGTATTGATCGAAGTCGACACTGCTTAACTTCGGTGATCAAATGAGAACTGATGTTTTCGGCGTGATTTGACCGTAAGCCTAAAGTGAGAAGTTGTGACAAAATAAACTATAAGCATAGAACTTCTGATTACATCTAGCAATTTCAACTGTAAAATGATGAGACCTATCTGCCAATCTAGTACAGAGTTTAATTTCGTGAATTTGAAGTACCAAAGAGCAAAACAATTACTATGGAAATATTTATAGATAAGGCAAATGTAAGCTACGTTACGGCGGTGGGAAAGTGATTGATGCGGATATAGATTGTAAGGACTGATAATGTTGCAGATTATTCTATGGATTTTGTTAAGTCTCTAAGTATATAGCAGAAGCATCAGCACAGATGTAGCATCAATATTTGATACACGGACGAATGGTTTAGTTTGTTTTACGGCATATCAACCTCAATGGGTTATTTAATGCCGACGAAATTGTTATCGCTGGTAATCTTTTTCCCCCCACCCAAATTTATCGCTGGTAATCTTTTCCCCCACCCAAATTTATCGCTGGTAATCTTTTTCCCCCCACCCAAATTTATCGCTGGTAATCTTTTCCCCCCCAAATTTATCGTTGGTAATATTTTTTCCCCCAAATTTATCGTTGGTAATATTTTTCCCCCCAAATTTATCGCTGGTAATATTTTTTCTTCAAACTTCTGTTTCTGGTAATATTTTTTCCTTGATGAAATCTATAGCTGGTAATATTTTTTTCAAAACATGTATAGCTGTTTGTATTGCTGGTAATTTTTTTTTTTTACAAAGTATTTCTGGTATTAAAACCTATTTTTACACTTTCATAGTATTTTGACCCCAGTTTGGGGAGTAACCATTTGACATAGCTGGGACCCCAACAAGCACCACCACCCTGGGTCAGGGCGGACTCGAGAACACCAGCAATTAAGAGATGGTTCCACGCTCCCCAAAACCTCCCGACCAGGAGCCCAGCCGCTGGACGCAGTTTATCGTCTCACCCAGAACGCGGATGTAGTTTATCATCATACTCTCGTGGAGGCACGGCGGAGTAATGGATAGCGGCTCGGGCTGCGGAACCGGAGAGCCGAATTTGAATTCCAGTCGAATCCATTACATTCACTTACATGCTAATACCTTTGGAAAAGGTATGAATCCTCCGTTTCTCCCCACCCCCAGCTATGGGTAAAATAGCAGAACAGACCGCGTTCTATAACCTTGGATGGCAACTGGTCTACCGCAGAAAGAAATGGCAATCTATTGCGGGAAAAAAACCTGCCTCGTCAGTCATGTATTGCAAGATACATGATCGCCTAAGCGATATAACTGATATGCCTATGACAAAGTCTAATTTAATTAGGTATAATAAGAGATGATTGATAACAGCTAATAATGAAACAGAACAACTACAGCAACATGCGATAATGAAAGTAATGGACAGAAAATGAATTATAGATACCAGTTACCTCAGCATAGTATTTTTTGTTGCTTAATAAGAAAAACAAAAATCGTATATCGCAGTTTGAGAACTTTCACCTTTGTATTGAAAGAATGTACTTTATATCTTTTCTTTGGAAAGAAGAATCTGTAATGTAATCGATCTTGATTCAGCATCTCGACTTCAGTTACTTTCTCACCGACGTGGCGTGATGTGGCTTCTATATGTCTTTTCTACAAATATTTTCATGACAATTGCTTTGACGAGCTTTTTTTTTTACCTGGTGACACGACTATATGAATTTAAGCGTGCTACTAAATTGGCATCTAGGTCCCACCCATTTAGTGTAGAAATAGCTAGGTGTAACCGCCACTTTAATTAGATACATATATAAAACAATTCATGCATTCAGTTAAAAGTAAAAATAAATTCATCCTTGATAATGGCCAAAAGTATAGTTTAACATCTTAGATATGAAAAGAAATTAACAACACTTAACCCCCCCCCCTTTCTTGAAAATGGCCAAAGTTGCCGAAAGCGCTTGGGACAACAGACACCACGGACAATTTTTGCACTCCCTTAATATCACCAAACGTAAAGATTAAGAATATTAGAAAAACTAAATAACAAATTCATCAAATTTTCCTTGTCTGTCATATTCAACGAAAAAGGTTTGAAAGAAAGGTTGATATATATAACACTACAAATCAAAACCTACCCACATTTCTCACCCACACAAGACAGACATGCTTACGGAGGTGTTGAGACCTCACACTTATACACACACCCACACGAACATACACACTTACACACATCATACTCACTCACTCCCTAATGAGCCAAATGATAACACACACCCACAGCAATATACACGCTTACACATATCATACTCACTCACCTAAGAACCAAATAACACACACACAAACACTTAAGAGACACATCCCCTCTCCAGGACCAATAAAACTGTCACACTGACAGGGGAATTCAGAGCAGCATAGATCCATCCAGCTCTTATCTCAAGTAACAACTTAAGAGACTGTTTGACCAACACAAGGAAGGTTAAAAGATTCATGTTAAAAAGATAAAAAAACAAATGAAAACTACAGACAAAAGTTCATTTTCTCCATCAAGACATTCATTTCTGTAGTTCACTGCTACCAGCAAGCAGAAATATTTATTCTCCTGATGATGGCCATTTTGGCCGAAACTAGTCTAGGAATCTAAATGAAATAATAATAAAAAAAAACGAAAGAATATTAATCTACAACCCAGTGTGTCTGAAGATTTTAATTTTTTAATATTTTTATCGTTCTCTCTCTTTCTGTGTATATATATACACACACACACACACACACACACACATATATATATATATATATATATATATATATATATATATATATATATATATGAATTCACCCATGTGATTTAAAAGCTGATCAGACCTCCAGAAAAAAAAAATTCCATGGTCAACCATCTGGTGGCAGACTGTTCCCGGCTTTAGGGTAAAGATAGTTGTATGTCCTAAGCACTGATGGTTAATAAATCCCAAATCCTTGCAGAAAATAGTCAGTCTGTTATATTTAGGACAAATAGTCTTATATATTTCTAATGATAACTCTGTAATGTGTAGATAGTGCAGTGGTTATCAGCGTGGACAGTGGAATCGGTGAGCAGGGTTTAAGTTCTGGCCAAGTCTGTTACGTTCTTTTTGTTGCGAGAGGCATGAATCCATCACTTTTCCTCTTGCATACACTAGGCTCTCTCTTTGATTAGCAGTTGGTCTAAGAAAAGGAAAATTATAAATCAAAACCATGGAAAAGGCAACAAGATACCACTTCATTATCTTTCCCAAGAAGATTATAGCTATTCACTGATAATAAAAGAAACTGTATCTGTTGAGTTCCACGATCCTCCTACGACCTGAAAGAACATAGTATTTAAAAAAAAAAAAAAAGGTAATTGGAATAAAAAAAAAACATCGTTGGCATTAGTTAAGGGTAGTTGTTCATCCACTTCTTCATTTGTTTGGGATGGGAGCTGAAGGTTGACACCATATTGTTTGTTTACGACCTAGCAGTAAATCAACTGTTTAATTTTTTTTTTTTTCACTTAACAAGCCAATCCCTCTTGGCTTTTATCTATTTATTCACTGGTACAATGAAAGAGTTATTCTTCTATCATCAGAGACATGTATACAATTCACCCACGTGTGTGGGTCTGCATACATGCAAACATCCCAACAAATGCTGGAGGTTTGATTTTTTTTTATGAAAGTAGTATTTTTATATTTGAAATTATTATTTATCTTTTTTACATAAGAGTGTAACAATCGGTCATATACCTCTCTATCTATAGAGACAAAAGTCACACACACCATAGGGATAATTTATTAAAAGTATAATTACATATGAAAATTTTATTTTCTAGTTATTTGTTATATGTTCTGTTCAAAATGTCCTTCTCCTTTTTCAAAACACATTTCGGTTCTGAAAAATAAAAGAAAATAAAAATTGCACGCAAAATTAATGTAAACAAACCACGGAGATCGGTTGCGTATACGAAGAAAGATTATGCCGAATTAAGGTGTCGAATAAAGATAAAATAATTTTATTATTTCTAAATTCTTATAACTTTTACGTACATAGGACGCAGAAAGTAAAAGTCCAAACCCTCTGCATGAGCTAGTCGGCACAAAGGGAGGTTTCTAGGCTAGTTTTTTTTTTTTTTTTTTTTAAATAAATGTAGTGGATCCACAGGTGTCGTACTAATTCAGATTAAAAGAGAATTAACAGACTTAAGAGGCAGCCAATCACAAAGGAGATTCAATGTACCTTGGCCACTTATAGACTCGATTATATTTTGTTTCTTATTGAACTCATCAATCCTTTTTTCTGTGTAATCGATAAGAATGATAAATAGAGATAAGGTAAAATGAATTAGTCAGGCATGATTAGATAATTTTACTAAAAATGTTTCCTAATTTTTAACTCAAGGAAATTAGTGTTTTCATTACAACAGTAATATTAAAAACCTGAAAGATCCATCTTGCCTGTTTATAAATCTACCATTCGATCATGCAGTAATTATTGCGACTTTATCTGGTCTGTTGCTTCTGCTATATATCGAAAGATTCTCAACTAAATCCAAAGAAGGGTCTATAATGTTATCAGTCCTGATCTGGCCTCTCAACTTCAGTCACTTTCACAACGCCGTGACGTGGCTTCCCGCTGTCTTTTTTATAAATATTTTCATGGCAGTTGCTCTAATGAGCATTTCTATATGGTTATTATTCGGATGAGATCTTTACTATGGCACTTAAACTTTATGAATGAATTTAAGCGCAATACTAGACTGGCAACGAAGTCTCATTGATATACAGTTGAGTTGGCTAGATGTAACCGTAAGTTCTATGCCAAAAAGTTTCTTTTCTTGTACTTCCCGTAAAAACTATCTTCCGGCTTCATTCTTTCCAGTCAATTTCAAAATTTTAAATGCAATGTCAATCGCTGTCTTCCTGATTACTCTTGTATTGTTCTCGCTACTTGGTAATGTTTCTATTTTGTAATTTTTCCACATCCAATAACCCCTTATCTTAGTGGCTTTGCTCCCTTGCTTGGGGTGAATTCG